ACAAAGCTCAGCATCTGCCCCTGAATCGCTTTCTCTTTCTGGGTCCCCATCTTGGGGACGGCCATCCCACCTCACCTGCTACTCACAGCAGAGTCCAGATCTCACCTCCTCGTCCTCCTTTCACCTCCAAGACTCTTTAGCAATGCTACTTCCAAACAGCTCTGCCCCACCCATACTGTTACTGCACTGGTCTGAACCTCCAGCCCCTCCAGCCCCTCCCAGGGCTCCCGGTTTTCCCCTCAATCCCAACTGGCTGTTTTTCCCCAATGGCCAGAGGGATTTTCCTGTAGCCTCAATTGAATTGTGTCTGATACTCTCTTGTTTCAAATCCTCTTGTGCAATAGGACTTTCTGTCATGGTGGGAATGTTCCAGACCTGTGCACCCAACACGGTCACCGCCATGTGCCCATGGAGCACTTAAAATGTAGTAAGTGTGAGCGATGAACTGAATTTCTGTTAAAGTTCATTTTAGTGAATTTCAATAACTGCATGTAGCTAGTGGCTGCCGTATGGGTCAGTGCAGCTCTGCAGGCTCTGTGGCTGTTGCCATCGGCGGCCCACCCAGACCCCTGGGCCCTCACTGTTTCCTTGTGCTGGCATCCCAGCTCTGACTCTGCCTGAGACTGTTCTGCTCACACCCAGGGCAGGCTAGACGGGTCACAGGATTGATGCCATTTCCACCCAGTGGTTGGCAGGAGCTGGTGTATGAATACCCCAGCTCACTCGTCCCTGAAGTGGAGCATCTCTAAAGTTTATGCTGCCCAGCAATCCCCCAGGGGATGGAGCCCCATCTGCCCACCACAGTCACCTGCTCACAGGTGCACCCCATGTTGGCCCCTTCCCTTTCCTCTCTCACTTCCCTACTCCCTCCTGGGGCATCCTGGGATCACCTCCTACATACGCTACTGGTACCCAAACCCTTGTCTTACAGGCTGCTTGCGGGGCCCCCAGATGGGCCAGGCTCTGTGTCACACTTACAGTAAAATTCAGACTGTTCACCACGATCTACAAGACCCTCCACAGTCCAGCTGGTTACCTCTTCATGCCCTGCCCTCCACGCCCGCCATGGCGTTCTCTCTCTCGTCCTCAGACACACCAGACACATGTGCCCATGCTGTTCCGCCCCTGGCACTCTGGGCTTCCCCTACCGAGTCTCCTTCTGCCAACTTCTCCTCACTCTTCAAGTCTCCATCCAAATGCCAACCCACACAGAGAGGACTTCCCTGATCACCCTCCATGTCAGCCATCGTCTCTTTCTCAGACTTTGTTCTTCCTCCTCTCCCTCCCCCTCTTCCTCTTCCTCCTCCTCCTTTGAAGTTCTTAAGGCTCTGTTCTTTTTTCTAACTTTTTGTTTTGAAATAATTTTAGACTCACAGAAGAGTTGCAGAAACACAAGTTGCAGGAAGCAGAGTTCCTGTGTACCCTGCACCCAGCTTTCCCTAATGTTATCATTTCTCGTAACTTGGTACGAGGATCAAAACCAGGAAATTCATATGGGTACAGCATTCTTAAGGAACCTACTGACCTCATTTTCAAGTTTCAACAGTTTTTCCACGCATGTCCTCTTCCTGGTTCAGGACCCCATCCAGGACCACTCACTGCATTTTGCCATCACGTCTCCCTAGGGTCCTCCACTCTGGGACAGTTCCTCAGTCTTTCCTCGTCTTCCCTGACTTTGACACTCTGAAGGGCACTGGCCGGGGATTTTGTGGACTGCCCCTGAATTCAGGTCTGTCTGACGACAGCCCACGATGCGACTCAGGTTGTGTGTTTCTGCCGGGTCCCACAGGCGCCGTGTCGTGTCTGCCTCAGTGCAGGGTATCAGGAGAGGCCGGAGGTGGCCGTGTCTCATCCCTGGTAATGTTCACCTAAATCCCGTGATTACAACAGCGTCTGCCAGAGCCTGCCCTGGGAAGTTACCTTCCTACTTTTCGAATGAGTAACTATCTTGAGAAAATTGCTTTGACACTGTGCACATATCCTGTTTCTCCTGAAACGCTCGCCCACGGATTCTGGCATTCTTCTATTGATCTTGTTTCTCACACACTTTATCTTATCTCCTTATTGCCTTGCTTCCCTCATGGGACTCGTGGCGATTGAAAATATTCTTGTTCACTTGTTTGAACGTTTTCCTCTTCCCTTGCACAGAGACCCCAAGAGTGGAGCCTGGATTTGTCTGGGACACTTGTGGGTCCCCTGTGCCCAGCCGAGGGCCTGACATACAGTAGGTGCTTAGCAAATATTTGATGAACAAAGAAATAAAATGACACCAGTCAACAAATGCCAGGTGCCCTGGTGGCTCCCCAAGAATGAGGTGTGTTCTAGAAGGAAAGGCCTTCCCTCACTTCAGGCTTCTGTTCACATGTCCCTGCCTTGGGGAGACCTCTCTTGAGCCCCTCTCCCAGTCACAACACTGGCTTCATTTTCTTCACTGCGCTTCACACTCTGAAATTATTCTGTTTGGTGGCTGGTTCATTCATTTATTTAATTTGTTTATTGGCTGTCTTCCCGTTGCTCAGCTAAAGCAGTTTCTGTAAGATCAGGGACTTTGCCTTGGTCATGACTGTACCCAATGCCTAGCACATCGTCCTGTAAAGACAGAGACCTCTCTCCTGCAGTGTTTTCTGTCTCCATAAGTTTAATTATCCCTGCATAAAACCTGGGACCTTGGAGCAGGAAAGGTGGGAAGACAAATGAAGCAGTCTGACCTCAGACAGCAGGCCTGTTCATTTGCAGCCAGATGCCTGTCCTGGTGGGGGCCAGCCTGGGGCAAAACCAGCTGGGCGAGAGTTTTGGGGAGCCTGGGGTGGGGAAAGCCTCTTTTGTTTAAAAAAAATGTATTGGGGAACAGTGTGTTTTTGGGGGGAACAATGTGTTTTTTCCAGGACCCATCAGCTCCAAGTCAAGTTGTTGTCCTTCGATCTTAGTTGTGGAGGGCGCAGCTCAGCTCCAAGTCTAGTCGCTGCTTTCAGTCTAGTGCGGGGGGGTGGAGAGAGGAGGGAGCACAGCCCACCATCCCATGTGGGAGTCGAACCGGCAACCTTGTTGTTAAGAGCACGTGCTCTAACCAACTGAGCCATCTGGCCGCCCCTCCATCCTCTTCTTAACCGTGGCGCTTGGGTAGGGATTGTTCCCTCTCTGCATTCCGGCTTCCTCCTGGGAGAAATGGGGAAAGGCACAGTTCCAAGTTCAAAGGGTGATGGGAGGGTCCATGGGTGTTTGTGTTCAGAAACGTTTTACAGATGGGGAAGCTGAGATGCTGAGAGGGGAAGCTGAGATACTGAGGGACACACTCAGGCAGTCAGTGGGCCATGGAGGACCTTACCCTCAGCTCCCGCCTCGCACCACTCCAGGCTCGTCTGGGTCCACAGAGGCATGCCTTTGGCCTTCAAACTGATAAAGATAGATCTGGAGACACAGGCACAGGGATGCACGCAGAGACAGGGAGCAGACATGTAGACACAGATAAAGACTACACAAGACAGAGACTTACAACAGAGTCAGACAGCAACAAGCAAATATTGAGACAGAGACATGGAAAGACTGAGGCAGAAAGTTAGAGAGAGAAAGGAACAGAGGCAAAGGTCAAAACAAAAGAGGCAAAGACAAAAAGAGACACTGATGGAGAAAGGGAAAGGTAGAGAGGAGGCAGAGAGGCCCAGGTCAGCCTGCCGGTGATTCACTGGCAGTTTGTTACAGACCCCTCAGTCCTCCCAGTCCTCCCAGCCCCAGCCCCCCGGGCCACACCGGTCTCCTGAATCACAGTCCTGTTGGGTGTGTATGTATACTGTATATCCACCCATGTGCAGGGAAGTGTATCATTCAAATTAGCAGGAGATGCAACCGGGGAAAGGAGTCAATGTGAATAACTTCCAGGGAAATTGCAGTGAACACAAGACACGTCCTGTCACCCCATCTGATAAGTGTTTTATATCTAACAGTCAGAGGAGGCAGACATCTCTACTGTATGTCCTCTGGGTGTCACTGAAGGAAGTCCCCACTAGAAACATTTCAGGAGGGAGAGGGGCGTAGAGTAGAAAAAGAAAATCAAACTTGTACCAGTGTTTCTTCTATGAGATTCTGGAAGCCTTACTGTCCCCTGAGAGATAGTTGTGTAGGGATAGTAAGCAAAAAAGGAATATACCAGTTCATGTCACAGGGGAACAGGGGTTGTGTGGCCTTCAGGCTCAGCTGGATTGAGGTGTGCAAATGATGTTTTTAGGACCCAGGTCTCTCCAGTCTCTGTTTTCTGCTTTCCTGTGCATTCTTTTTTTCTCAGGCAGCATCTTAGTTTGGGTTCCCCAGAAGCAGATCCCCCGAGACAAGGATTTGAATGCAAGTTACTTATTTTGGAAGGGACCTCAGAAAACACTGGGAGGGGAATTGGGGAAGGGAGTGAAGGAAGCATTTATCAAGCAAGTTATCAAGGTGGTGGCTGGAGCTCAACCTGCTGAGGAACCTCTAGGAGATGGTGAGGGAAATGTACCCCAGAGGTATCTCACTTGAGTCATTGGTTCTGGGCTGCCCCCCAGGGGTGTTAACATCTGGTACACCTAGACTGCCTTGCACATGAGCAGAGGAGGGAATACCACGCTGCCAACACCTTGATCTTGAACTTCTGGCCTCTAGAACTACATGACAATAAATTTCTGTTGTTTTCAGCCACCCAGTTTGTGGTACTTGGTTACAGCAGCCTGAGGAGCCTAATACACCCTATTTATCATCTTTCCGTCTTTGGAGAACCCTTTCTTGATCTTTATCCCATCATCATCCATTTGTTCCTTTATTTACCAAATATTCCTTAAAGATCGACTCATCTATTGTCTTCCTTTAAAAAGGAAACTGTGAGAGTCATAAATAAAAAACCCGTGTCTCTTGCTACAAAGAGATGGGGCTCACAAAAAACAAAAACGTAGAAAACCAAACGATGTTTTAAAATTCCAGTGGAGCCAAGAACCTCTCTCTTAGGGAAATTAACAACTGCCTGAAAGGCATTAAAGATGGTAGCACCAAGTAAGACTTTCAGGAAATATCCCCAGGGGGAAGAGAATTGGGAGGAAGTGACATCGTTTTGTCCACCCTCTCTCTCCTCCACACCAACCCACTCATTCAGGGCTATCATCCCCTCTGAGTCTCTTCGTATCTCCTTCTCTCCACCCCACCTCCCAGTCCCTTCCCTGATTCTCTGGCTGCCTCCTTGGCTCATGGCCTCTTTCTCCCTCTCCAATCCATGCTCCACCCAGCAACCACAGGGCTCTTTCAGAAACACAAATCTCTTTTTATTTCAGGAGTAATAAGTGAATTTGTTCCCATTATAAAAAAGATCCAAACAATGCAGAAATATATACAGCGGAGATGGGAAATACAATCCAACCTTGTCCTGCCTCTGTTCTAAACTTTTCTGTGGCTGCCGTCATTCTCGTGTAAACCCCAAGGCCGTTGATGTTCAAGGTTCTGGTCTGGCCCCGCTCACCCTTTCCCTAACTCGCGCCCACCCTTGAGTACGATCTCTTCCTGGCCTCTCTGAATGGCTGCTGTTTTCAACCATTCAACTCTAACTCACTTCTCTCTCTCTCTCTCTCTCTCTCTCTCTCTCTCTCTCTCTCTCTCTCCACTCTACCCCCTCTCCCCTCCTTCTCTGTCCCTATTTCTATCTCTATCTCTTGCTAACCTTAGGACCTTTTCACATGCCATTCACATTTCTGGCGTACTGTTCTCTGCCCCCTTTACACCAAATTCATCCTTATTCACCCTCCAGTCTCAGCATGGTGACTGACACCTTGCCTTTGGCTCGCCTCACATAGACACAAACCCTGGGACAAGGATTCCAGTATGTATTCATTCCCTACATCTGCCATAACAAAGTGCCACAAACAGGGGGGCTTAAAACCACAGAAATGTATTTTGTCACAGTTCTGGATGCTGGAAGTCCAAAATCAAGGTGTTGGCAGGGTTGGCTCCTTTTTGGGAACTCAGGGGAGAATCTGTTCTGTGTCTCTCTTCTGGTTTCTGGTGGTGGCCGGACACCCTTGGCATCTCTTGGCTTTTAGATGCATCTTTCCAATCTCTGTCTCTGCTGTCACATGGCCTTCTCCTTATGTGTCTCTGTGTCTCTTCTCCGTCACAGGCTGGGGGCCGCTGTGGGAGCTATTAGACCAATGAAAAAAAACTAAAGAATAAGTAGTCAACTTAGCACAAGGCAGTTGAGGAGAGAGAATTCCTGGCAGAGGGAACAGCATTTGCAAAATTCTAGAAGTCAACAAAAATCATGATACATTTAGAGCATTGAAAAGCATTCAGGTTTGTGAGATCGGCAGGGGCTCGACCATGGGGGTGCTTATAGGCCACAGAGAGGAGAGTGGACTTTATCTGGAGGGCGATGGGAGCCATGGGAGAGTTTAGAGCACGGCAGAGACCAGAGGATTGAGATTTTAGACAAATCCCTGACTGCCGTGTGGTGATGAACTGGAAAGGTTGCAAACTGGAGACAGATCTGCTCCAGGAGAATGACAAAGTCAGACCCTATCCTGAGCACTCGTCTTGTATATCTCATGTCATTCTCACACCACCAGTCCTACATGATAGGTTCCTCATCATTATGCTCATTTTACAGGTCTCAAAGCTGGGGCCCAGAGAGGTTAAGCGGTTTACCTGGTGTCACACAGCTTGTCAATAGCTGAGCCAGGAATCGAGACTTGAGCAGGCTGCCTAGCTGGGTAAGAGACAGACTCATGGTGGGAGATTTGGGAGACGCGGAGTGGGAGGATGTGGGGCTGATGCCAGGGGCTCTGGCTGAGGAATCGGGGACAGTTGCAGATAAAACTCTGAAGTGAGAGAATAAAGCTGGTGCAGGAGGCCTAACAGGACTTTTGACCATCCAGCCCTGCCAGCCCTGCCCTGACCTCGGCGCTTCTCCCTCCACACAGATGAAGTCCAGTTAGACTCTGAGGACATACGAACTCAGACCTGAGTTGTGAGAGTCAGCCACAGGGAGAAAGGGCTTTGTAGACAGAGGAAACAGCACATGCAAAGGGCCTGGGGGCAGGACCATGACTGGTGTGTTGGAGGAACAGAGAGGAGGCCCATGTGGTGAGAGCAGAGTGAGTTGAGGGGGAGAGAGGAAGGAGGTCTGGAATTTGGGTTTTAAGAACTGACCTCATGGGGAGAGGGTGTGCTGAATAAGTCCAAGTCCTTCCAGGAAACTCAAAGGGGGGGTAACACTGGCATCTTCCTCATTGTGTCTCTGGGAGGTGCAAGGAGATGATGCTTGTAGTGTGAGTGTGCGTGCTGGATCCCAGCCACTGGGGGCCACTAGCCCACATAAGGCCTTATGCTCATAAAGTCCAGGAGCTAGGGATGTTCTGAGACTCCCAGAAGTTTTGTTAGAGGATGCCCAGTCCCCCAGGTTAGAGACCCAGGAATTCTGCCTCAGCCACAGGCCCAGGCATCTTGGAGCTCCTGGGGACAGGATGTAGCAGGACGATGTCACAGAGGCCGGAGCATCTAGAACCCTGGGGGCTCCTGGCCTTGGCGTCATCTGCCAGGAAGGCCACCTGGGTAGGTCAGCTTCTCTTGAGACCAGCCTTCAAAGACAATGAAAACGTGGCTGCCACCAGGAGCAGTTTCCGCCTAGGGCCACTCAGGTCCCAGCCACTCTGCTTACCTGCCCCTGAGTCCCCATTCAAGCTCACCTCCATTCTATCCTGGCCACGGGCTCCTGGGAGGCCCTGGAGATGCCCGAAGGCCTCCCATCTGCTGTTCCCAGCGGGACCTAGGTCACACCACAGCCGGAGGAACAGGGGGGTGGCCATGGGGTGGCAGCAGCCTGCCCTGGGGGCAGTCAAGGCCTCGCTGATCTTGTCGGCACTGCTGGTCCCCTCGCAGGCGGTGGTGCGGGCCGTGCTGGATGGCAACTTGAGCACTGTGGACTTTGTGGATTTGCCGGCCATGTTTGGGGTGCCCCTGGCCCCCGAGGGTGTGCGGGGCTACCTGATGGAGGCCAGGCCAGCTAATGCGTGCCACCCCATTGAGGGCCCGCGGCTGACGGGCAATGGCTCCCTGGGCGCCATCGTGCTGATCCGTCGCTATGATTGCACGTTTGATCTGAAGGTGCTGCACGCCCAGCGGGCCGGCTTCGAGGCCGCCATCGTGCACAATGTCCGCTCGGATGACCTCGTGCGCATGGCACACGTCTACGAGGACCTTCGGCGCCAGATTATCATCCCCTCGGTGTTTGTGGGCGAGGCCGCCTCGCAGGACCTGAGAGTCATCATGGGCTGCCACAAGTCAGCCCAAGTCCTCTTGCTGCCCGACTACCCGCCGTGTCCCCACCTGGACTGCCATCCCGTGCTGGCCGTCGCCTGGGTGCTGGGCCGCACCCTCACCCTGCTCATGTCCACTTTTTTCATCCTGCGATGCGTGTGGAATTGGCTCTGGGCCTGGTGGACCCGCGAGCCGGTGGCAGTCAAGACATTGACCTGCCAGAAGGCCCAGGTCCGCACCTTTACACGGCTCAATGACTTGTGTGCCATCTGCCTGGACGAGTATGAGGAGGGCGACCAGCTCAAGATCCTGCCCTGTTCCCACACCTACCACTGCAAGTGCATTGATCCCTGGTTCTCCCGGGCCACCCAGCGCTCCTGCCCTGTGTGCAAGCAGTCAGTGGCCAGCACGGAAGGCAGCTCTGACTCCACCGTCGACAGCTTTGGCGACGAGGACCCCTTGCTGCCTGGACACCAGCCCCCTATCTGGGCCATCCAGGCCCGGCTGCGCTCCCGGAGGCTGGAGCTGCTGGCCCAAACCAGTCCACACCACTGCTACAGTGCCACCTCCGTGGGAGTGGCCGAGGCCATGGCGTCTTCAAGGAGGCCCCCAGACCCATTCTGAGGCCTGCAGGCCCCGGCTGGTGAAGATCGGGATGGGGAGGGTGGAAATGAATGTTTTTAGTCCGGAGAGAATAAAGTGGGTTTGAAAGCAGATTCATGCCCTGGCTGCTGTGAGACCGACCGGCTTCTGGCCTCTCATGTCACCCATGTGACAAATCCCAGATGAGTCCAAAAGGCTGGCTCCCAGTGTCTTTGGGTGGCTGAGAATTTATTGGATGGGAGGGAGTATTCAAGGTCGCTGTGTTTATCCTGCCAGTGGTGGCTCTGTGAAGGGGTCCCTGTGCCTCCGTTCTAATCCTGGGCACAGAGGCTGCTGATCCCTTATATGTTTATTCATTATTCATTTAACCTTTTTTTTTTCTTTTAAACTTTTATTGGGTATCAGCATGTTTTTTCCAGGACCCATCAGCTCCAAGTCAAGTCGTTGTCCTTCAATCTAATTGTGGAGGGCGCAGCTCAGCTCCAAGTCCAGTTGCCGTTTTTCTTTTCAGTCTAGTTGTGGGGGACACAGCCCACCATGCATGTGGGAATTGAACCGGCAATCTTGTTCAGCGCACGTGCTCCAATCAGTTGAGCTACCTGGCCGCCCTAACCTTTTTTTTTTTTTTTTTTTAATGTTTTACTTTGGGATCATTTTAGATTTTCAGAAAAGTGGCAAAGGTTCTAGAGAGTTCTCATGTACCCTCACTCGGCCTGCCCTGATGTTCATGTCTTCCATAAGCACAGCGTGTTTGTCACAACCAAGAAAGCAACATGGGTATCTTATGATGAACTAAACTCCAGGTTTTATTTGAATTTCCCCCCATCATTCCAACTTTTTACACTGGAAAATGTCAAACACACCCCAAGTAGAGACAATAGAATAATGACTCCTCACATGTACCCATTACTGAGATTCAACAATTATTTCCTCCTGTATCTTCTCTGCTTCTACTTCCTCCGCCCCTTGCTATTTTGATGTAAATTCAAGATTTTTTTCATCTGTAAATATTTCAGTTTGTGTCACTAAAGCAGTAGTTCTCAACTGAGGTGAGGATTTTGTCCCCGGAAGACACTTGGTAGTATCTGGGGGCATTTTTGGTAGTCACCACTAGAGGATGCTGTTAGCTTCTTGTGGGTAGGGCCAGGGGTGCTGCTCAACACCCAGGGCCGCCACTAACAGAGAAGGATCCGCCCCAAAGTGCACAGTGCAGAGGAGAGAGGCCCTGCTCAAGATAACACCTGTTAAAAAACAACCCCACACTGAGTGGCTCAGTTGGTTAAGAGCTCACTCAAGAGTTTGAGCTCTGAACAACAGCGGTTCGAGTCCAGCCAGAGCTGAGCAGCCGCTGAGCTGCCAACAGGTGGCAGGATGGCTCAGCTAAAAAAAAAAAAAAACAACCCCACAAATTCCAGTATCATGTTCGAAATAATGATTTCTTAATAGCATCAAAGACCATCCGGGGGACACGTGGAAATGTGGACATTTATGGTGTAATTTCTTTAGGTTGTCCGAATCGGTATCTAGATAAAGTCTAGAGTCGTTGGTCTCCTAACTCTCTTAATTGAGAGCTTTTCCCTCCATCTCACTCTTTTAATTTTGCCTTGCACTTTATTTGTTGAAGAACTGGGTCATTCACACTGCAGAGATGTCCCTGCTCTAGGTTTGCCTGTGGAGTCATTTAACATGTTCCTCAATCCCCTGTATTTCCTAGGAATTTGTACTTGGATTCAGAGATCAGCTCAGATGTGTTTTAGTTTTATGGCGAGCAGATAAGGTGCTTTTTCACACCCAGCATGCTTCCCCGCCCCACACCTTTAGAAGGTTTGGTCCACATTAAGGGGTTTTCTGGGCATTGAGTGGGGGGCTCTTGCTTGGCCATGTGGCAATTATGATCAGGGAAGTCATGGATCTGAGACTGGAATGGTGAGAAGGAGGCGAGGTGCAAGAAGTGCGTTCCAGGCAGATGGCATTGCACATGCAAAGGCCCTGAGGCAGGACCATGTCTGGTGTGTTGGAAGAACAGCGAGGAGGCCCATGTGGCTGGAGCAGAGTGAGCAAGGGGGAGAGGGAGGTGAGGATAGGTTGTGCAGGGACTTGTAAAACTTTGTAAGGAATTCTGTTTTTATTCTGAGCTGTTGAGTAAAACCATTGGAGGGTTTTAAGTAGCTCAAAGTCCCTATTAGCAATACTTCAAGGTCTCTATTTTATAAATGAGGCAACTGAGGCCCAGTCACTTGCTTGGGATCACACAGTATGTGGCGATAATAGGATTTGGACGTGGAAGTCTGGTCTTAGTAGGTTCACGAGCGAATATTTGCGTTTAGGCAGGTTTCCTTTTTCACACACATGGAAGTGTTTTTCTGTGCTTTGCTGTCTGTGCTTCACGACGTAGCTAAGAACCTCCAAGATAGTTTAGGGGAAGATTTTCGCTTCCTGGATCGATGATGGCAAAGGACGAGCCCTCTGTTGTGGTCTGTATGTATGGTGGGGGCTGACCCACCAGAGCAGCTTAAGCACATGGGACTTATTTGCTTATAAACATGAATAGTCAGCTCAGGGATGGCATGGAGGCTCCAAGGTGTTCATAGCCCAAGCTCCTTCTCTTATTGCTCCAAATTCTCAGCAAGTGGCTTCCTCCTCGTGGGAAAATTCAGCTGCTTGAGCTCCAGCCTTCACATCTGCATTCCAGTCAATGAGGGTGAAGGGGTGAGGAAGAGCTCACACTCTCCTTTTAAGGAAACTTCTCAGAAATTCCACCACTTCTGCTCATAGCCCATCTGCCAGAACTTAGTCATGTGGTCATACTTCCTGAAAGGATGCTAGGAAATGTAGTTTTTATTGAGTGGCCAAAGGTCCAGCTGAAACCCGGGGATTCTATTATTATGAAAAAGGAGAGAACAGATGTTAGGTGTGGCCAGCATTACTTGCCATTTAGGCACCTCAGGGGAGCAGGGACATCCTGGTTCCCCAGACAGATGACCTTTCTCACAGCCAAGCTGCCAGGGGAGGGACAGGACAGAGCTTGCTGTCACTAGGAATGACAACAGCTCTTACGGAGACTCTACTATGCTCCAGGCCCTAGACCACCTGACTTCATTCTACTACTAAACCTCTCTGAGCCTCAGTTTCCCCATATATAAATAGGGGCCAGCAACACCACCTGCCCTGCAGGGTTCCCTAAGCATGGAAGGTCATGTACAGTACCTGACACCTAATAAGCGCTTTGTCAGTATTTTTCGATTGACTAAGTGACCTGCCCACAGCCCAGCTATAATATTGGGTGATCAGAGCTGTGATGGGAGAAACTCAGGCATTGTGTTAACGCAAATGGAGGTGCTTGACCCAACCCAGAGAATCGGGGAGGCTTTCTGGAAGCAGTGTCTTATAGAGTGGAAGAAGAAAGAGCAGGGATCAGTACTGTGAAAAGGAACAGTGATCCTGGCACCTGGAACAGCATGGGCATAAGTCCCCAAGCAGGCTGGTCTGGCATCCAGTGGGTGCTTAATAGGTATACATAGGGTCCTTGCCCCCAAACCAGGAACTGCTCCCTCTAGGAAGGGGCCTCGGCTTCCTCCCAGCCTCCTCAGTTCCCCATCAGCCAGAACTGGGCCCTCCTCCAGACACCGTCAGGAAAGCTGGGCACTGCCAAGGACCGCCAGCTTAGTGAGGCCGGCCTGTGCCAGCCCCATTGGTCCCACTTGGCGGCCGCTCTAGGTAAACACCAGTAGAAGCCTCCTCCCACCCATCCAGGCAGTGCCCCATCTGTGTGTTCTAAGGGGGAGTGTGGCCAAATGGGGAAACTGAAGCTCAGAGAAGGAGCGACTAACCTCAGTGATGGGGATGGACTCGGATAATAGTAGCTGCCAGCATGGCTACTGAGCGAATATGGGCGGCCAGGTGCCTGCACTAACTCCTTGCATCCTGAGCCAGTTTCCTGGGCACACTCCCATATTTCAGAGGAAGAAACTGAGCCTGGGAAAGAGGATGTGGCTTGCCCAGGGCCACATACCTGGAAGCTGGATGAGCCAGTGGCAATGGGGAGCTCACTCCTGCACCTGAGACAGTTCTTTCCATTTTTATTTTTATTTGTTTATTTATTTATTTTAAAAGTTTTTTTTATTGGGGAATTGGGGGAAGGGGAACAGACAAGTTGCTGTCCTTTTGTTCTTCAGTCTAGTTGTGGAGGACGTTGCTTCACTGGCCCAA